GGTCCACGCAGTCGATGTGGTAAAGGTGCATGCAGGGCAGCCGCCTGAAAACGCGGGCCAGGTGTGAGGCGAAGCGCAGAGGGCGCTGCGGTCGGTGGCGGCGGCGCCTTCGGCCAGCTGCCGCGGCCAGGCACGGCAGACCGCATCGAGCCACACACCTACACACATGCACACACACACACACACACACACACACACACACACACAACACACACCACACACACACACACACACACACACACACCACACACACACACACACACACACACACACACACACAACACCAACACACACACACACACAACACACAGACACGCAGGCGCGCCAACTCACGAGGGCCGTCAAAACGGTGCGACCAGACCCTTTCTACTGAGGATTTTTAGGCATTTGCGGCAAATGGCTTTGAGATAGATCTCGAAGATAACATTGTCCCTTTATTCGGAAGAAAAAGAGCGAGACATCAGCGATGCCTGACATCACCGTCACCAGCTGACTAAAAAGGGCGCGCCAGACGCGTCCTCCCGCACTCACCTCACACACTCGTCGTCCTCGAACTCGGAAAGACAAATGGTGCACTTTTCGATGTCGCCCGTCTCCGTCCTCGTTTTCTGATGCTGTGGGACAGAGCCGGCAGATGACAGCACCGCACCTGTAGTGTCGCCCGCCTTACGTGGCCGGGTCCCCGCATCTTTGAAATCCATTCGGCGAGGATCCCGCACAATCGAAAGGTCTATGCCCATCGAAAGCGCAGTCGCCTACCACCGGTGACCAGCTGGAGGAACTCAGCAGAAACGGCGCCGCCCTACGCCAGATAACGCTAACGGGACAGGCCACGTACGCCGGCGCAGACACCAGGTGTTGTTGCGTGGCGGCGCTAGTCGCAACAAACTGTCATTGCCAGAAGGAACGGTGTGCAGTACCCGTTGCGGCTAATCTGTGTCACAGCGACCTCAAACTGACGCCAAGGCAAGGCGATTCAGTACCAAGGAAATCATGCGCGGTATAAGCCATTCACGCCATCTGGTTATGCGATTCAAGACGTTCGTGAAGACTGAAACAGCCATTTCCAAATATCAACATAAAAGCCAAGCGGTCAATACAATCACGGCCGGCACAAACCACCGGCTTATGTATTCTCTGCATTCTTTTTGGGCTTCCACCACGCTCGCCAGCCCCGCAAAGCCTTCACATTTAAGCCTGTCAGGCAGCCCGTACCGCGGACGCCAACCAGCCGGCAGTCTGCGGGGCACCGGCCGCCCCCGGACCGCGGCACGCCGGCCGCCCTCGGACCGCGGCACGCCGGCCGCCCTCGGACCGCGGCACGCCGGCCGCCCTCGGACCGCGGCAGCCGGCCGCCCTCGGACCGCGGCACGCCGGCCCCTCGGACCGCGGCACGCCGGCCGCCCTCGGACCGCGGCACGCCGGCCCTCGGACCGCGGCACGCCGGCCGCCCTCGGACCGCGGCACCCGGCCGCCCTCGGACCGCGGCACGCCGGCCCCTCGGACCGCGGCACCGGCCGCCCTCGGACCGCGGCGAGCCGGCCGCCCTCGGACCGCGGCACGCCGGCCGCCCTCGGACCGCGGCACGCCGGCCACCCTCGGACCGCGGCAGCCGGCCGCCCTCGGACCGCGGCACGCCGGCCGCCCTCGGTCCGCGGCACGCCGGCCCCCTCGGACCGCGGCACGCCGGCCGCCTCACCTTGTAGCGGTGCGGCAGTGTGTTGCGCTCGATCTGAGTGCGCGAGGCGCCCGGCTGCGCGCCGCCATGCCGGGCAGACTCCAGTTGCGACATCAGGTACAGGTAATGCTCGTCCGTCGCCATGCCGGACATCAGCGGCGGCAGCAGCTGGCCGGCCGACATGCCCTGCGACGGGCGGCGGCAGCGCGTCAGGCACGGGTCCCGATACGGCCGGCGGGCGCAGGCCGGGGCGCAGGTGTCGGGCCGGGCATCCCTCCGACGTTACCCGGGGTGAGCAATCGCCGAGCCGCTGGCTATCACCCGTGGGACAGCGGGGGTCGGCAACCACGTAACACCGTCCCGGGAACAGCGGCGACGGTGCTGATACGGTGAAGGGGGAGGGGGGGGGGGGGCAAGCAGAAATCTGGGGACACTGAAGGACGATCAGACGACCATCCAGCACCACGGATGTACTTATTGGTGGCGGTCAGGGGACCCCAAACTAACGCCTGGAGTGCAGTGGACGGCCAGAGGACCACACAACACTATTTGGGTGGCAGTGGAAGATCGAGGACCATCCAGTACCATCTGGGGTAACGTGCGGCGGGAAGGGAGTGGGTCAGGGACCAGCCAGCCCGCCTGCCGCCGCAGCAACGACGCCAGCGGGCCGGCACGTACCGGATGTGGCTGCAGCGCCGAGATCGAGATGTGAAGGCCGTGAAAGCCCATGGGCTGCACGTGCGCGTGAGGCACGTAATGGTACTGATGCGGCGGTACCTCCGAGCTGCAAACGGAGGCCTGCTAGAGCGACGCGACGCCGCTGTCGTCTTCAATAACAGAAAAACACATATCGGACGCAACTACCGTCCAGTCCACAGCAGCAGTACAACCTTCGAGGTCACCCAACTCATGTCCAGAGCACGCCCGCCACCAATCACATCCGCAAGCCACCTGAGAGGGGCCGTCACCAGCAGCTGTCAAAGCCAACAACGCTGCCGTCAACGGCGTCAGAACAAAGGGATTCAGCCGTCTTGCAGTCCTCAGGGCGGTTACATGCCGGCCGACAGGCGCCAGCCGTGGCCAGCCGCTCACCTCAGGTACGCGGCAGGGAGAGAACGGGTACGCCATGGCGGCGCCGGCGGCGTGGGCCGGCAGCGGCGCGGGGGCGGCGCGCGGCGGGGCGGCCGCCGCGGCGCGGCCACACTCGGCGGCTGGCGGGCTGGCGGCGGCGGCGCAGCGGGCGAGGCGGCGCGGCGCGGCGGCAGCGGCCGCGGCTCCAGTGCAGCGGCGGCGGCGGCGGCTCGGCAGACGGCGCCGCGTGCTGGCAGGCCAGCGGCGGCCGCCGGACGGCACCGGACGCCTCGGACGCGTCACCGCCGGCCGACGGTCGGCCACGCGCCCTGCCATCGGAGGAGAAAATCAGCGACCGGCACGGGGCCCCGGTGAGCAGTGGGAGGGGCACGGGGTGGGGGGAACAAGGGGGGGGGGGGGGGGGAGCTCGCCGGGACGCACACGGCCAAAGCTTTCTGGACGCGGAGAGAGGGATAGCTAACTGTTTGGCCACACGAAGCACACCAGTCGCCCGCAAATCAAAAAAAGGCAGAGTGACAACTGCCGGCATTCTGAAAGGCAAGATTAGCCACAACCCGACAGCACAGAGAGAGAAGTTCCCAGCCAACCGGGCGGCCGGCCGAGCCGGGCGCCACACACTCGCCTGGTGTGCAGATCCATCTGCGCGCGCGCCGCCTCGGTCATGCGCTGATGCTGATGCAGAGCCGGTAGTGGCGCGGGTTGACGGTCAGCTCCGGTGGCGGAGGAGGAGGCGGCGGCGGTGGCGGCGGCAGTGGCGACATGGCCGGACGCTGAGCCGGACTGCACGGCAGCGGGTACCCGGGCGCGTACAGCGTCGGGTACGACCCGGGTACGTCTGGTACGGCATCGGCGGCGGCGGCGGCCCGGAGAGACCCCCTGTCCCGAGAGCGGCGCCAGTGAACGGCGCCGGTCGTTGCAGAATGGCAGGTGACGAACGGCAACAACCGGCCACGGTGACGCGCAGGGATCAACCAAGGCGCAGCGAACATGATTACGGGCGAAAATGGCACACGAACAAACAACAAACACGAAATTGACTTCAGCCGAAGTGCTGTACATAAATCTCACCAATTGTGAGTTTTTCAATAATGTACTGAAACGCTTTTTGGAAGCCGACTTTTGTCTTCCACAGCGAACAAAACGATCGAAAATAAGCTGCTTTAAAACTAGTGTTAACATTTGCATGGGATTTGAACTGAAATAGCCATATGAAGATCGTTCGGTGCAGCTCACAGCGCTACCCTTCTTACGACCCCTAAGCCCTTATAGTTCTTGAGCTACGCGCCCGTGACCCTAATGCGCAACGTTTTCGAGGAGTTCGAGGATTTCGAGGATTTACAGGTCACCAGGCGTTCACGACGCCATAACACCATTCAATTGTGCCATCCATTAGCCACGCGGCGGTCAATGCCCAAAAACACTTGTCGAGTCGTTGACATACGGCGTTCATGAACACAATTTCCAGATAAAAACGGCCGTCAATTAGTTCTCAATCAGTGTAGTGCAAGGTACGATGACGCGGTCAAACAAGGACGTAGTGGGAGGATATATACCAAATAGAGAAATTGTGCTATCGCCATAGGTCTTTTCCACTTAAACGTATACCAATATTTATAACTGATCTTATTTCATCACAGCTGATGTTTCCCTCGGTATTCTTCAAATGTGGAACACTTTCTTTGATCGGAAATGACGATAAGGTCCGTGCTGCTGAGATATGAGCCCGCCTTTGTTCGCCAGGCGCAACCGCGCGGCACCCTTGCCCCATTCATCCAGTCCGGAGCCTTCGGCTCTAAGTTCGCGAACGATTTTTTTTCGGATCCGTATGTTCAGCTATCTGTCAAACCGTGTTTGCCAGCCTCCCACATGATTGATCACAACCCACAGTCCTCTGTTGGCCGGAGTTGGGGAGCGCGGGATCTCTCGAGGTACAAACTGTGACCGATCACACCCCCACAGTGCTCTGCTGGTCGGAGCTGGGGAGCCGCAGGATGCCTTCATCTTTCGGGCTACAAACTGCGCCGGTCTCTTCAAGCAGTTGCAGCGTCTCACGTATGTAGTGAACGCTGGCGAGGTACGGCATCGTACATATGCACCAGTCATCACTGTAATGGTTGGTTAGCAAAGGTAAAGAGCGACCCTCGATACGCTCCGCCGGCATGCCGGGCCGCCCACACTGTTGCTGCTGGGCCCGGCCCCCGGCTTTTAGCATTGTGTTCACCTGTGACCGTGTGAGAAGCATCACTTCATTTCTGAGACACGATGAAGCTACGCGTCCCGTCATATGTGACGCAAAATATAATCAGACATAACTATAGTTTCCCGGCTTATCTAGACCCCATATCTGTGGCCAGTCAACGGCCAGCGTTCCGCGGTCACACCGGTCCGCTGGCCCGCGTTCCGCGGCCACACCGGTCCGCTGGCCCGCGCTCCGTGGTCACACCGGCCCGCTGGCCCGCGTTCCGCGGCCACACCGGTCCGCTGGCCCGCGCTCCGTGGTCACACCGGCCCGCTGGTCCGCGCTCCGCGGCCACACCGGTCCCGTACCCGCGTTCCACCACCATGCTAGCAGACGCTTGACGATTGGTCGGCGCACCTCCGTGCCCGGGGGCCGATACCATACGGCTTCTTCAGATTACTGCACGTCAAAAGCTGCTTTCCATTCTCCTCCGTACATATACTGTCGATTAATGCCCCGATATCTCCAACTGAGCACAGCTGAGATGTTCGAACTGGTCATAGATCTGCATAGTAGCCCTTTTCACGTAACCATTATTAGATGGGGACCGACTTTGTTACAAAGCTGAAATGTGCCGAAAATAGGACATAAGCAGGACCCCAAACCATGGTTTCTCGTCGGAACTATCAAAATATCCAGAAATTTGTACACCGAGGGCGGTTTTGTTTCTTCATGCACCTATTCATTTCATGCAAGTGGTACTTTATGATTGACTATCACGTGACCAAATACGGAAAGGGGAAATGAATGTTCAGGTGATGATGAGACAAAACCGCTTCCAGGGCAACCTTCACCACTTTGATCTGCCTGAGGACAAACGAAGCGTTTCACCGCTAGCGGGGTCGAGGTGAGCTCCGCTAATCCTCTTGGGAAGATGGCCACTTACACCATCACCTCGCGGGGAAACTTGCTTTCTGATGTGAGACGCTGGATATGGGACGTGGCCATCTCCCCGGCAATATTGTCTGAGACGTGGCCATCTGCCCAGCAATATGTTCTAGGACGTCCCCATCTCCCGGCAATATGGTCTGGGACGCCGCCATCTGCCCAGTAATGTGGTCTAGGACGTCACGATCTCCCCGGCAATATGGCCTGGAATGTCGCCATCTCCCCAGCAATATGGACTGAGGCGTCTCCATCTCCCCAGCAATGTGATCCAGGACGTCGCCATCTCCTCAGCAATATGATCTGAGACGTCGCCATCTGCCCAGCAATATGGTCTGGGACGTCGCCATCTCCCCACATAAATATCAACATTCTTGGGCTTGTCGCCTCCTGTGCATGTTATATGCCTTGTCATCGATAAATCCAAATTTCCCCGCATATGCATGACTGCGAGGGAGTTCTCCGCATCTAGTCTTCCTCTGCAACTCAATTGAAAGTGTGGCGCTCTTCTCCCCTGATGCCTATGTCTGACGCTGCCTTCTTTTGGCACTTTGCCCATGTTGACGGCGTGTTACCATCGTTACTGATCAGGCCAAGAGCGCCGGCCTCGCCGCAGCCTTCACCACAGCGGGCTTCCTCGGTCTGCTCACTTCTACAGATACCGGTCATGCATCCCGTGGGAGACGGCGCCCGGCTTTGAAACGCTTTATGACGTCACATGCCTTCGCCCTTGCTACCAACATAATCATATGCTTGGAAACAGATGCACGGGATGATCAGAAACAGATGCTCGATATCTCCCCGGATTTCTTGTCACGGAAGTTGCGATTTGATCTCGAACTTCATACTTAATACGGACATCAACACGAACTGAGTTTTCCCACGGATTCGTGGGACGTTTCTTCAAATACGACTCTGAATCAGTATAATCTTGAGAATGAGTCACTTAAGTATTAAATTTTCACAAATATGTGATACGCAAATCTTGGCGCAAAACAAATTCACCTCCCCCATCACTGTCCACCAACCGGTAGCCACCACATCAGCACACATCCCAGACCACAAGCACCAGATCGTAACCTGTCCGGTCCGGTCGCATCGTCACTGACCCAGCTGGTGGACAGCGCAGGTCTCGGAGCGAGCTGGAGGCGGCTGCAGCGGCAGCGGCGGCCGGCAGCGGCGGCAGCGGCGGCGGCGGCGGGCGGCGGGTGACTGTGCCCAGCACTGGTGCGCGGCTGGCGGCCGGGGCGGCGGGCGGCGCGCCTCGGTGCGCGGCCGGGCCGCCTCACCGGCCGGTGCAGCACGCGCCGGCCAGCCGCGGCCGCACGCACACCGGCTCAGTGCGCGCCGACGTGCCCCTGCTGGCGGGAGCGGGTTTGTCACAGGCGGCGCGGCTGCCGCGCTGGGGCGGGGAGCGCGCGGAGGGCGCTGACTTGCCTCAGGTGACGCAAGAAGGGCGGGACAACGCTAGGATGTGGGCAGCCGATACTAGAGGGAAGGCACCCAGGCTAAAACGCGAACATGGATTAGCAGCGCTTGGCGGTGACAGATAACCTAGATAAAAAGAGCTACAAAAACAGACTCGAGTGAGAACCGACCAACGTAACAGTTACAAAAACAGACTCCAAGTGGGAACGACACACATAACAGCTACAAAAGACAGACTCAAGCGGAGACGACCAACGTGGCCACACAAGACGAAAGTCCTTAGGGGTCAGAGCCAGTTACCGAGACATAACGCCACATCATCACCGGAACAAATGGAATGACAGAGCGGTCACGCGACCAGGCTAATACAACGGCTACTCGTCAGTAGGCAGCAGGCGTGGCATCAGCGCAGCTGGCAAACCCAAGCTGGCAGGTGGCAGGTCTGCTGAGCTGAGCCGGGCGGGTCCCGGACCGTCGGCCAACATGACGCCACGGCATACTATTACCAACACTTCCAGCGCAGCTCACCAGCCAGCGTGTACCCCCCCCCCCCGCAGCTCATCAGTCAGCGTGTACACCTCACCCGCAGTTCACCAGCCAGCGTGTACACCCCCCCCCCGCAGCTCATCACTCAGCGTGTACACCCCACATGCAGCTCACCATACAGCGTGTACACCTCAACCGCAGCTCACCGGTCAGCGTGTACACCTCAACCGCAGCTCGCCAGACAGCGTGTACACCTCAACCGCAGCTCACCGGTCAGCGTGTACACCTCAACCGCAGCTCACCGGTCAGCGTGTACACCTCAACCGCAGCTCGCCAGACAGCGTGTACACCTCAACCGCAGCTCACCGGTCAGCGTGTACACCTCAACCGCAGCTCACCGTCAGCCACCTCACCGCAGCTCACGGTCAGCGTGTACACCTCAACCGCAGCTCACCGGTCAGCGTGTACACCTCAACCGCAGCTCACCGGTCAGCGTGTACACCTCAACCGCAGCTCGCCGGTCAGTGTGCTACCATGCCAGATGACCTGTCTGACCGTTTTGACCTCGAGACGTGGACCACAATGACTCGCAGCCCGCTACGCCGGAAACAGCCAGGAGCCTGCA